GCGTAATTTGCCTTCTGAGTTCTCTGCCTGAAGGTCTCTTGGACTGTGTGGGGGGCTTTGCCTTTCACTTCTATGTTATTTTACTTTTCAGAATAAGACCCACATGCCGCTTGTGGGGAAATGACGGTGTTCGGTTTGAAATGAGAATACAATGTCCTGACTTCCTAGCCCATGTAGACATGCGGGGGCCTGAATGCGTATTGCAAAGATTTTAAAGCCTTTTATCTCCTCGCCTCAGCCCTGAGTGAAATTGTGTTACAGCATTCGGACTACCTAGGCCTGACCCTGTGGTTAGAAACTGTCTAATTTTCTTGTATTTCAAAACAACTTCATTACAGCTATTTTTCTTTTCTAAAGTTAAAAAGCAGATGATAACAGGAAAAATGCAATTTGAGTGCCAGACTTCATTTTTCTCTATAAAATGTCCAGCATGTCCCTGCCTCGAGGTGGCTGCGGCAACAGCTCAGGCGCTGGACCCCGGCTTTGCCCTGAGAGCTTGCTGACCCACTTAATCCTGTAGTAACCCAGCGAGGTCACTGTTACTAGTCCCCTTTACACATGCTGAGACCGAGACACACAGGAACCAACGAACTCGGAAGGTTTGCAGTTCTGATCAGCAATGGGACTTTGAACTCAAAAGTCAAAAATAGGGAAGAGACCTTAGACCGCCTCAGTCCTTTCCCTGTGCGGTGCGGTTGTCTTACAGCAGCACCGTGAGCGAGGCTGTGAACTGACCCTGATCCGATCCTAGTGCTTAAACAGCCCCACAGATGAACGCCGGCTGTGGGGGGACAGCAGATCAGGTTAGAAGATGGAAACACCGAGGGGAAAGCCCAGAAAACTGGGGTAACGTCTCACTTCAGCGTGATTTTAGAGTTCGGGGAAACTGTGGAAGGATGTGTTATTTCAAGTAAAGGCGTGCTGGGTTACCGGGCAGGCCCTCCTGGTCACCCGGGTGACCTGGGTCAGGCCTGTGGCTGCCCCTTGCTTATCAGACTGCTAACTCCCTGAGGCCAGGGCTTGGAGTCAGGGAAGGTATTGGACGCGGAGGCGTCAAACCTCAATTCTGCCCCCTACGTGACATGGCCATGCGACTTGGCACCAGGCCTCGATCTCTTCACCATGAAGTGGGATAAAGTCAGAGGCTCATGAGGGCCATCAGGGAGAGCCTGGGGGACAGCCCACACCGTGGTACCCAGCAAGGCCGCGGTGGCCCGTCCCCTGAGGTCCTTAAACACGCCCTCTCCCGGCCAGCTGTTCACTGACCAGGCAGCGTCTGTTCAGCGCGCACGTAGGGACTCCCAGCCACCACCTGCAGGCTCCCCTGCCCTGCCCTCTCAGCCCTCCTTACTCAAGGAGTGGTCCGGGGCCGGCCTGCAGCAAGTGTAGGCTCTGCCCCATCTGACCCATCAGGATCCGCGTTTAAACAAGGTGCCCAAACGCTTCGCATGAAAATCGAAGTTGGAGGAGCGTCGGTCTAATTCTTACACCGTCCTGTGGGTTCGCGGTGGTGGTCTTCATTTCCCGCACGAGATAAGTGGAGGTGGGAGGTTTAATGACTTGTTCTCAGCTACCTAGTCCTGGAATTTGCATTCCAATCTGGCTGGTTCCTGAATCCCACTCAGCCAGTGACACCCTCAACCCAACTCTGTCCCCTAATGTCGGCTGGGAGTCCAGGAAGAACCGCTGCTTCCCAGAAGTCTCGATTTAGAACCATGTCCACTGGCTAGGAGCGAGCTGGACTCAGGTTCCTGAGCCGAAGATTAGAGAAACTCCTCCGTCTCCTCCCCACTACTTTTTCTAGCTTGTTTTCCTTGGTTCCCAAGCCATTACCTCAGCCCAATGCCAGATGTTCTTGAATCACTCCTTAGGGTGCAGTTAGCTCTTCTGTGTCCAACACAAATCTTCCCTGTCACTCACTTCCTGCCTGCCTGTCCTTCTATTCTCACATCCCAAGCCAGGAGCCTGCCCCAGCCCTGTCCTGGAAGAAGCATTGTCCCATGGCCTCTGGCAACACAGTGCAACAGCTGGATTTCGCCGGGGCGAAGTCGAGTTGAACTCTGTGGGTCTCTCCGGGTCAGGGCTCGTGGGGAGTTCTTTAATAGCGGGGGCTGAGGTTTGAGGGTCGTCCTTGCACCCCTAAGAAAATACCTGTCTACTAAGCAAAGCTGAGTGTTAGCGCGGCCCCTGTGCCGTGTCCCCTCAGCAAACTCCTGTCTTTAGTACGCAGTGAGTCCCAGCAAGCTACACTGAGTCCCAGCAAGCACTGAGGGATGGAGGTGGTGGGGGAGCTGCCAGCAGGGCTGACTTAGGAAGTACTGAAGCTTTGAGCGTTCAAGGTGCTCTGTCTCTGAGATCTCCCTCTCCCGCACTGATGGGAGTTAGCAGTAGGAATCCTAGAGCTGGCTTTCTCCTCTCCTCCTGCCGGGATCGCCCCCACACGCTCTCTGCTTCAGTTTCTCAGGGAGTGTCTGTCTACCTTACCAGCGACAGAGCACGCTGGCGAGTCCGAAGCCAGAGCGATGGCGTGCTTGCCAGTTCCAGCTGGGTAAGACAGGGCTACACGGAGCTACAGCTTCCCTGTGGCGACCCTGTGCTTTGTGGACTCGTTTTCACAATTTTATTTTTTTGCAAGAACAGTACTGATTTTAGGCGCAATCATAAAACTATTGTCCCGAGAGACATTTTTAAAGAGACACAAGTTGTATAGTTATTCCATTTCAGTTGAACGTGGTCGTTTTCTAACAAGAACAGCAGCTTGAAGAATGCCAGGCTCTGCGTAGGAAAGGTGCCCCCTGGCCCTGGACCCGAGGCAGATGGATACGGAGGATGGTAACCGGGGACCAGGTCGCGTGGGGGCAGGCAGAGAGCTCAGTGGCCTTGACTCTTACCCCAGACCTTTGTGGGGGAGGAAACTGAAGCCAGACGACTCTCTGAGGCCACATGGCCAGTCATGGCAGATTTAGGGCGGAGGTCTCAGCCCCGACACCCTGTGCATGAGCTTTTCCCACGCGCCGTCTCTAAGACAGAGCGGTACAAGTTTGTACAGACCTGGCAGCACGTTTACATTCATGCAGAATCTTCCCGACTAATTTAACAATTCACTGAGATTCTGCCTTTTATAATAACACCTCACCCGTGTTTCCTGCGGCTTCAAGTCACATATACAGCTGAGCCCTTCCCTACAAGTCCTGGGGAAATGCATGTCCCTGGGGTCACCTCCGCCTGCTCCTGTCCCCTGGCACAGTGCGACGGAGCCTGGTGTCAGCCTTGCAAATCGCCTCACGTGATTTCCCGTGAAGCTTGTGCCGTGCCCCGTTCCTGCCCACGGCGCTGTTCTTGGTCCATGTAACTGACTAGGTCCACGTGGTTCGGTCAGGCGCTCGGATCTGAGGAGCGTGCGGAGTAGATGCAGCTGCACGTGGGTGCTGTGCTCTCGCTCCTGATGACAGCTTTCTCCACGTGGCCGTGCAGCTCCGGGTTCCGATGTTCTTCGCGTCTGTGGACTGAGCAGGGCGTCTCCCAGTCCTGCACGGGGGGACGTTGAGCGGGGTCCTGAGCTAAGCGGTGCCCGCCTCTGAGCTTCTGCACAGCAGCTTCCTCACACTGACACGCTCCCTGGGTCTTTGCCCGAGAAGAGTTCTCTGTTAAGTGCATGTCATAGAAACTGTTTCCAAAGAGAGTCCTGAGTCTTCCCCGCAGGGCTGCGGGGTAGCTCCGCATCCTCCGCCCTTGCCACCTAGCGGGGACCAGAGCCCGCTCACCGCCAGCCACATGGTTAAGTGCAGAGGCGACGGCCCTCAGTGCCCTGTTCCACCTGCTCTGACTTAGAGGAGGTGAAAAGACAGACCTCTTTCAAACCAGCCGTCAGCTCCGAGGAAACCGTCGGAAAGCATTTCCGGTTTCATGATGAAATGGGAGCGCCACGAACAGCCCACCCTAGCCAGGGCAGGCTAGCTGTGAGCCCGTGATCTCCACGTCCCAGTGGCTTAACCCGATAGACAAAGGTTACTCCCGTGTCTTCCAGGTGGACGTGGGCCCTCGGCTCTGTGTGTCCGAAGGGGAAGGGGCTGTTTCCGTTCACACGCCGCAGCTCTAGGGCCTGAGCAGCTTCTGGGTCCCATTGTAGCCAAGGGCTTCAGAGCCTTCCCCTGGGCTCTCTCCATCCGGCTGGCCGATGAGGGCAGAGGGGGCAGTGGCTGTCGTGCATGCACTGGAAACGACACACGTCAATCCCCCTACATTCCACTGGCTGTCCCCTGTCACACGGTGCCACCCAACTGCCAGAAGGACAGAAAACGCAGCCTGCCTGTGGGTGGGAAGAGGGTGGGCTGCTGGCCATCTGCCCGGCTGTACACGGGCCCTGCTGAATCTGCTGCTGTGCTAGGGAGACTTTGCTTTTAAGCCTGGTTGTAAATTAGTAAGTTGTAAACGATTAAGTTAATCATAACTAGGGAAGTTGGGTGAAAGAAATAATAGGTGTGTCATCTCCACAAAGCCTTCCTGGGTTCCGCCTCGCTCTGCCTCTGTCCATGGCGGTTCCCAGCTCCGAACACCAGGAGCACTCCCAGGGCCTCCCTCGCAGCATCTCCTGTCCGTAGATGGTCTGTGAGGCACACCTCCGCCTCCACCTCCAGGGAGTCCTCCATCCACGTTGGCAGCTTCCACACCTCACCCTGCGTGCTGCGAGCAATGAAGAGAGATCCATGGGAGTTAGCAGTGACTCGAGTCTCATCCCGTCTCCCCCCATTCCCGCCCAGCCTGACACAGTGCATGGCCCCACGCCAATGGCCGCCCAACCTCTGGGGTAGAACTAGAGAACTAACGACCGTAAAGAGCATATGAAACCAATCTGCTTCTTTATTTACACACGTATATGTTTATAGTTCTCTCTTAAAGTAGCACATTAATGTTTTTCTCATCTGAACTGGGAAGAACAGGGCAAACGTGGCCTGCAGTGTAGCCCAGCTAGTCATGAGTCTGCACGTGTGTTTGGCTAGGTGGGCGGAGCCGGCGGGCCCCAGCTGTTCGTCTGGGAGATGCAGTCCCAGCAGGACCTGGTGCGGATGGCTCTCTGCACGCTCTGCTACGGTAAGTGCGAGTCGGGTGGGCGTTTCTGAGCAGGCTGTCGCCCGAGGCAGGCCGGATAACTGGCCACGGGCCCGAGCTCTTCGGCAGATGTGTGCTTGGCATGAGCAAGGTTGGAGGCTTAGGAATCCCCTCTTAAGTCTGGACTTGCAGTTTCTTAGTAGGTCAGAATTGTCTTGGGAGTTGCAGACTGCGTCCCCACGTGGCCACAGTCAGCAAGGCCGAATCCTGCCTGACCCCATGGCTGGGGTGAGCGACCACCTGTGACCGCAGCCCCTGCCCTGCCTCGCCTCACTGCTGCCCTGCTCTGCTTGTCTACCTGGTCTGCTCCGCTCCTGTGGGTGCTTGGGCTGTGGTTCCATGTGACAGGCAGGTCATTGGGCTGAGTCAAGTCTCCTGGCACTGCCGTTGCTCAGCTGTGGGATAGTGGCCAGTCCCCAGTCTCCATCTCTGCCCCCACCCTCGCCTCCGGAACCTGCAGACCATCCCCACAGCACCTGGTCCAGAACAGGGGAGCTCAAGGGGATGTCCTTGCCCCCTCTGCTTGAGCCACGCAGAGTCCTAGCTGTGCTAGGAGGAGGACTGTGGGGGCTCGGCAGGTCACCTGCAGTTACCGTCACCCCCTGACATATTGGCTCCCTGGGCCTCAGCCCCTCTCCTGTAAGAACGAACCCGCTGCTGTTTACTGGGCTCTGACGGCATGTCGGCCTGTCCTGAGCTGTTCTGAGCACACAGGTCACACTGCCTCACCGGTCACCGACACCTTGTAGACCTCGCAGCTAGGTCACACTGCCTCACCGGTCACTGACACCTTGCAGACCTCGCAGCTAGGTCACACTGCCTCACCGGTCACTGACACTTTGTAGACCTCGCAGCTAGGTCACACTGCCTCACCGGTCACTGACACCTTGTAGACCTCGCAGCTAGGCACCGTTATTTCCGACCACTTCATCTGAGAGGGGAGGGGACTGAGGACAAGCAATGGGCCTGGATAGGGACCAGACGTGGGTGAGGGCTGTCTGGCTGCCCAACCCCCGGCGGCAGCCTCGGCACTGTCAGTGCGCTAAAGTGGAAATTCTTAAAATGTTTCAAGTACATTTACCCGACAAAAAGTAAAAAGCGATTTGCTGATGACCATGTATGTAGTAAGTCTTTGCCTTGATGGATCCGCATGGTGTCGGTGCTGGAAAAGCAGTGTCGTACACTGTGAATATACATGTGATACATTTTAATTAGATTAAAATAGAAAATTAAAAAAAATCATTGACCTACAAAAAAAATTTTTAGCGCCATAGATCCTTTGGCTGGCATCTGGTCTGGCCTGTGATCACCTCGAAGTATGTTTCTGGACTGTCATGGCCTGCTGGCTAAGGGAGCTCGGTCTCACGGCATCAGCCATGTGGTTCAAATCCTGACCCCGGCAGCTTGAAGCCCACACCGGGCGCATGTGTGAGAGTGTGCAGAATCCCTGTGGGTGGAGAATGGAGGGGACGTGGCTGGGACACACCCATGACGGGGCGCTCTCTCCCCTCCCTCTCTGTCCACCGTCTTTCTCTAGTGAGCACCTGTACCTCCAGCAAATAAAAAATAAAGCTAAATGCATAAAATAAAACAGGATTACAAAGGAAAATGATTACATCAAAAATACATTGCAAAAAATTTTATCGTAATATATGTGCTTCTTTTTTAAAGTTTCATCTTTTTTACTATTCATTTTTTGTTATACGGTGCATGTGCTCACTGGGGGGAGAAAAATTCTTTTTTTTTTTTTGCTATGAGGTATATGTGATTGCCAGAGAGAGAGAGGGAGAGAGGGAGAGAGTGAGAGATCCCCCTGGGGGATGGCCATGCTGCAGTCTCTTCTGCATTTTCCTCTTAGGATTTTTGGCCACACACACAGGTACCCAGCATGATTTTCAAGCTGCCAGGTTTGGGACTTGAACCACAGGGTTCAAGTGTGGGATGAAGTGCCTTCACCTCCACACCCTCTGTGGCCCCATCTTATTTTTAATTGGCAAATTATAATTGCAGATATTTATAGGGTGAGTACAACAGAACATAGTTGGTATGCCATGCGTTCTTTTTTTTTTTTTTTTTTTTTGGGTTTTTTTTTATTCTTGGTTTGCCATGCTTTTTTTTTTTTTTTTTTTTTTTTTGAGTTTATTTTCTTTCACACAAAGGGGTGGGGAGAGAAAGACAGGGCGCCACCGTGCCCCAATCCCCACTCCCCAAAGCTTTCCAGCCAGCTAGGATCAAGGGAGCACCGTGTACCCAGCATGTTTGGTTCAACCTGGGATCTGCACCCCAGACCTCCCCCGGTCCCAGCACGTGCAGTGGGCCCGAGGTCACTTTGATACGGGTGAACACTGGGATGATCGGCGCAGGCTCCTGGTCACAGCCATCACCTTGAACACCTGCATTTCTTTGTGGTGAGAACATTGAAAATCCACTCATTTGGCTAATTGGAAAGATACACTACATTATTATTAACTTTCGTCCCCACGCTGTGCCATGGATCTCAATGGGTCCCGGGAAGCGGTTCTCCTGTCTCGCTGACACTCTGTAGCAACTGTTTCTCTGTCCCGCGGACACTCTGCAGCGACTGTTTCTCTGTCCTGCTGACACTCTGCAGCGACTGTTTCTCTGTCCCGCTGACACTCTGCAGCAGCTGTCTCTGTCTTGCTGACACTCTGTACCGACTGCTTCTGTGTCTCGCTGACACTGTAGCGGCTGTCTCTCTGTCTCGCTGACACTCTGTAGCTTTAGACCAGTGTCTCTCCTTCCCCTGGCCTGCTCCTAGCCTCTGCACCTGCCCCTTCTATTCCTGCTTCTGCGAGTTTGACGTTTCAGAGCCCACATTTACTGGGGCTCACTGGCTGTTGGCCCAGCTTATTTCATTAGCACACTGTCCTGTGGGTTCATCCGTGCTGTTGCAAATGACAGAATTTCCTTCCTTTTCAAGGCTGACTAGTATTCCGTGTGGACCCGTGTGGCACGCTAAAACAGCCCGTCCACCCTGTCCTCTTTATTAGCGTAGTAAGTGGCGGGCCTCAGCAGCTGGCCTGCTCCCTGTTGTCTCACGGCAGGCACAGGGTGAATCCTCGGCTAATTGTCCTGACTTGGACACACCAGCGATTCCCACTGGTGTCTGAGTCCGAGAATTGTGGTGGTTTGCTGCTTTCACACATCGTGGGAGGAAACGTGAACCTTCCTATCAATAGAAGCTGTGGAGATAAGACACACTTTCCCTGTCCTCGTTGACAGAGTCCCTGGAGGGCCACAGAGCCCAAACTCGCTGCTCGCCAGAATTCCTGGGGTCTATTTTAGTTACACATGACCACCTCCATCCCAACCCTGCCTAACCAGAGTCTTAGTGTGGACAGAGTCCGAGAAGACTGGACACTAAGAAAAAAAGGCCGACGTGCCATTCTGTGCTGAGCCAGCCCGAGGACTCTCAGATCACTAGTCAGGTTGCTATTTAAAATTGGCAGTATTTCCTTAGAAAATGGCCATTTCACATAGCTGTTAGGGTCACTCGCAGCTCTAACAGCCTGTGTTTTCTGTTTATTTGTGTGTGTGTGAAAGAGGGAATGAGAAGGTGAGTTAGGGAGGGCGAGGGAGGGAGGTATTTTTGACAGGCCTCCATCCCCCCAGCGCCCAGCTGGCTGGAATTAGACTTGCAGCGCAGAGGCGGGACGCAGTCAGGGTTTCTGTGTGGTTTCCCGAACACTTTGCTGTTGATTCATCTTAGTAAGAACTTCACCTGGAATTCTCTTTCTGGAGCGGGACCGAGGGGTGATGTCGGGGACCCAGAGATTAGGCTGTGGCCGGGAGTACTGACAGCGCAGTCTCAATGCTTCTTCTGGGAAACGGACACGTTTACACACGGGCCGCGAGCTGGCCAGGAGCCCCGCAGTTCCGGGTCGGGCGGTCCGCATGGACCGGGCCTGCGTGCGTGTGCTAACCGGCCTCTGCTGCACTTCCTCCGCAGACCCGTGCCGCCCGGCCCCGGAGTGTGGGCCAGCCTTCCCCGGGCCGCAGGTGGCGGACGTGGACGTGGCCTTCGTGGTGGACAGCTCCCAGCACGTGGGCGCCGACGTGTACCGCGGGGCGCTGAGGCTGGTGGACGCAGTGCTCGACGACCTGGAGGTGGCCGCGCGGCCCAACGCAAGCCTCCCCCCGCTGCGGGGAGCCCCGGCCCTAGGCCATGCGCTCGAGTGGACGCTGCAGAGGGTGCTCCTGGCCGCGCCACTGCCGCGGGGCGCGCGGGTCCTCTTCGCCATCGTGGCCAGCGAGACCAGCGCCTGGGACCGGGAGAAGCTGCTGGCGCTGTCTCTGGAGGCCAAGTGCCAGGGCGTCGCCCTGTTCGTGCTGGCCCTGGGCGCGGGCCTGGGCGCCGCGGAGCTGGAGGACCTGGCCCTCGTGGCCAGCGCCCCCTCCGAGCAGCACCTGCTGCACCTGCGCGGCGTGTCCGACCCTGCGCTGGCCTATGCCCGCGGATTCGTGCGCGCCTTCCTGAGCCTGCTGCAGAGTGAGTGGGCCGGGGGTGGGGACGCTGGCCGGGCTGGGCCGTGGGAGCTGGCCTACACCCGCGCTCTGAGTGGCTGCACCGAGATCGCACCCTCTCCCAGTTAGAGCCGGCAGTGCACGGAGCGCGTGGGGGCAGCCGCGGTGACGCTGTCCCCTGCGGCCTCTGCTGCCTCGTCGCTGATTCCCAGGGTGGCCGTCCTTCTCCAAGCTCAGCTTGCCCGTGACTGTCCTGGGCATCTGCTCAGTGTGAATCCCTGCCAGCAGGTCCGGGTCAGGAGTGGGGCCCTGAAATGCTGCATCTGAAGCTTGAGGTGACCCTGACCCCGCTGGTCCACACACGTGTGCAGAGGGCCTTGCGTGTACTCGACGTCATTGCCGCCACGGCGGTGTGTCTGTCTTCAGAGACTCCCAGGAGGAAGGGAGGACACCCAGGGCCGCCCACCTCGGCGCGTGGATCAAGCCGCAGTGACTGCGAGGGCCGAGGGCCGTGGGTGCATCCTGGCCAGGGTTCTCCCTTTTCCTGGGCGTCCTCGCTCCAGCCAGAACCAGCTGAGCCAGGTCCCCCCGCAGCCAGGACCAATCCGCACCCCTGCCTGATCCGGAGAGGGCGCTGGGCGGAGGCTTACCCTGCCACGGTTCCGCGAGTGTCTAGTTGTTTCCCGGGTAGCTTAGAACGACTAGGCCTCCTGCCCTTCCTGCTGGGGGACAGCTTCCTCCTCCTCAGGGCTGCGACTCTCTCCTGGGCCTCCACGGACTACAGGAGTGAGGGGCGCTGGTGAACGACTTGGGGCCCTCGGCACACGTGTCTCTGAGCTGAGAGGCGGAAGGAGATGAAGGGGGTCAGTCCTGGCCCAGTCCCTAGTGAGCTGTGTGATTTTAGAAAAGTCAGTGAGCTTCTCTGAGCCTTCGAGCCGCCTTCGGTGTGCGGGATGGTGGAGAGTCTGAAAGTGGGTAGCTTGCCCAGGCTGATGGAGTCACCTTTGAACTGTTCCAGTTCATTTTGTTCATTTTTTATGTTTTATTATATTAGCTTGTATTTTGTGTTTCGTTAATATCCTTTTATATCATGATTTTCTTTTATATTATGAGATAGGATGAATTTTATATTTTAATTTTCTTTTTTGCTTTTATTTTATATTTTATGCTTTATGCAGATTATTATCTTTTTTCTTTGTTTTTACATTATGTTTTTATTTTATTTTGTTTCACTTTGCTTTATATTTTATTTTAGGTTTTTATTTTGTGTCTTTTGATTTTATATCTTCATGGATAATATCTTGTCTCTGTTTGGTTTTTCATTTACTTACTTGTTATGCTTATGTTTCTTTTTTGTTTTATATTATTTTCTGTGGTAATTTTAGGTGGAACAAACCAGTACCCACCGCCAGAGCTTGTTAAGGAATGTGGGGGTCCGAGCCGTGGGGACACGGTGTTGCGGTCAGCCTTGCCCATGGACAGGTAGGCTGAGGACAGGGCTAGGCAACCTGGTTCTGACCGGGGAGGGGGACAGAACTCACTAAGAGGCCACAGGCAGTGCCCACCCTTGACTAGACCCAAGGTGTTGGGGCTGGGATGTTCCTGGGTTTGGCCGCTCTCGTGTGGCCTGGGTTTTCTTTCCTCATTTTCACATAAGAGCAGCACAGGCCCCACACACAGATTCAAAGAGCACACGAGTGCATAAAAGCAAAACCCGAGAAAGATTTTCATTCTACTCTGTCACCGCTCCCTGATCCGAGTCCCTGGGGGAATTGAGAACGCAGACATTCTCGGATGCCTGTGTGGACGCGCCTGCAGACCCGAGAAATCAGCTACGTGGTAGCAAGGTCAGC